AAATGACAAATATACTATAACGAGAAGAGGAGGATATATATGGAAGAGGAGAGATAGGGAAGCTCATAGTCGATTGGAGAGGTGCGAGAAGGAAAAAAGAATATAAGAAGATCAAAAGGACGAAAGGAGGACAGGAAGTCAACAATTGGAGAACATTCAAGGAAATCACCAAAATCCATCTCTTATCCACTCAAAACGCAGAGATGAAGCTTTTTTTTCCCCCCCTCCTCCGTTTAATCGCTCTCGGCTGCCACGGTGACCGGTGAAGCATGACTCGAGAATCTTCCTGCAACCCCCCTTCTCTACTTCCGCTTCTTCTTCATCTAAACAAAACTATGCATATACTATCTCGTTTTTTTCTCGTTCTCTTCATCCTTCTTCATTCTTCTATCTCTTTCTTTCTCTCTCTCTCTCTCTATATATATATATCTCTCGAATATATCTCTGCCTGTCTCTATAACTTCTTTGTCTATCTGTGTTTTGTTTATGATTTCGCTTAGTGTTAGTAGCGCTTCCCTTGGCAGCCAGTGTCGCCTCGTTTCCGCTCTGCGCTCGTCAACGTTCCTCCGCGTCTCTTTGGACTTTGCAGTCGAGATTGTTTGCGTACCGCTTCAGCCGTGCCATTGCGCGAATATTCGAAGCCCGTGGATTGAATGTCGTGCAATTAAGCCTCGCCGGAGCGAGTAAACGTTTTCACGACGAGCTCTCTTTCTCTCTCTCTCTCTCTCTATATATATATATATATATATATATATATATATATGGTTTCAATCCGAGATTCGAGATAGACGAGAGAAAAATTCTCTCGTCGATGGAAAAAAAAGAATAGAAGAAGAAGGAAGAAGAAAAAAAAGGAAAAAGGATCGTTTTCGAACGGCGAGGCTTCGAGTATTCTCGATTTTTTGAAAAGAATCTGCGATGCTATGGGTCTTAGACACGCACGCTTGCAAATTTGGGTATTTGGCCGTGGAATGCCGCTGGTAGATGCGAATGATTTTGCCTGTATCTCTCTTTCTCTTCTTTTTCTTTTTTTTTTTTTTTATTCTTTTCACGCTAACCACATCGGGGGTGACAGTACAAAGTGCGATTTTCGAGAACGAGTTCGCCTGAGCTTTGCTGGATTTTTTGTGTTTCGTTATGTCTTGCTTTCGTCGAGTGCGTGATTAGGGAAATTATCGATGAGTTTGAAAAGGGATTGATATTTATTTTTTGACGAGATTTGAAATTGGAATATTTATTTTATCTTTTTACAAAGGGATACCGTGTAGTTAGAAGTCATCTTTATGGAATAGAGATTATTAACTTCTTTATTAAAAAATTCAAAACGTTCGATGAAATGTAAAATACAGACTAATCCTATTTAATCCTATTACGCTCTTCTTATGTTTCAATCTCGTTCTTATTTAATATTCTAAAGGAATATCTTCAGCATAAAAGTCAAGAAATACGATAATCCCATAGCTTAGTTAACGCTATGGGGGAAAAAAAAGAAAATTATGAAATATAAAGTATATCACATCCGATCCAACGAATAAATTTTAAAAAAACCTTCTCCTGTTACGTATTATTCGAATATTCTTTCTTATTCGTTTTACCAATAAAAAATTACAATCGATAATGATCGAAAAAAGACACGCTTGCCGAAATCAATCCCAATTCAAAAATTTCACTCCAAAGGAATTTGGAAATATCCTCCAGTTGAATCGCAACTGATCACGCACTCAATCGCAAGATGCTGAGAGTAGTTGGCTGAGGATCGGCCTAATCGCATCTCGTGCGTCACGATTCAGGGGCTGGAAAGTTTCCTGAAAGCTTTATTCAGTTCTCGTCTCGGTGCTTTCTTCATTTTCGTAAACGTCCCTGGACACGAGATTTCCAAAGAAAAGAAAAGAAAAGAGAAAAGGAAAAGAGAAAAGAAACAAATCCACAAAGATCCTGCAAGCCTTGTCCAAAGCTCGGGCTAACTCGCTGATGGCCGGTTTCATAGCCAACGAGTTTGTGAACGAGCGACACCGTTAATCTCATTCGTGGAAACGATTTTTATTTCGACAATGGCCTCCAGTTTTTCGTTCCAGCTTCGTTCTCTAAATTTCGTGTCCTTAGCATTTGTTTTTTTTTTTTTTTTAGCTTTC